AGTGTGTTTATATGTTTTAGTTTAGTAAGATAATATGGCATGTATAGATGTAGATATAAAACTTTGAATTCAAAATCTTTAGCGGAAGTCAGTTTTTTCGAACATAAATCAGCAAATTTGAACAATAAGGAAGCAACGTAGTCCAGTACAATAAGAAAACTATCTACGACTGCATGATATGGGTTACCCTGTACATATGCTAGTGACGTATGATGAGTTAATTCTCACCGAACGAAAGCAAAACAAGATCGAACGAGAAGATACGTCGACGTATCCTTCTTTCATGACTTTCACTTTTGATTTGGTATAAAGAGCCGTAACTTTTCTCTACAGCAAGCTATCATAAAAGATGACAACACAAGTGTAGTGTCAGAAATATTTTGCAGAATTTACTTTTATACAATTAAAGAGACGGCTCCGTATAAACGGCATGTACCGGTCAACTTTTTGAACGGTCAAAAATTCGACTGGTACCGTGTAAATGCAGCCTTATATTATCATTGTAAATTCATTTTACTAAAATGCTACATGTATAATTTTGTTATTGTCGTTGTTATTTCTTGATGCCGTTTGATTTCAAAAAATTAAATTATTTCTGTCAAAGTACTAGCAAAAAGTTAATTCATTGATCAATTTGGTTCAATATTCAGTTGGTAATATTAGGGAAATTCCCGGCGGAAGTATAGGTGATGATGCAAAATTGGGTCGGTTATTGGAAGATGAATTCTAAGAAGTTTGAACCATAAACACGCTGGCGTGACAGTATTTGCTTCGTCACGACCAAAAGAAATTTATTTGCAGTGAAATTTGTCCTAAAATAAGGGACCGGGAAGGGAGAGGGCTGGTGCAAATGGGGAAAGGAAGATTATTATTTTCGTGCAAATTCAAATGGTGGGTCACAAATATTTCTTCACGCCTTTGAGGGGGGACACCTGCTTGCCTGCTTGCCTGCTTGCCTGCTTGCCTGCTTGCCTGCTTGCCTGCTTGCCTGCTTGCCTATAATTTTCAGTAATTTTATTTATACTTTTCTTTTTTCAGACTATAAAATGGATTTCACTTCATCATTGCATTGGTCAGAACTCAACTGCATTATCATGGACAATTTCAAGGATCGTGTCCCTAAATCTGAAGCAGAAGATGGTGCTACTTTTGTTTTCCCTTTTTTCCAATTAGCAACAAACGTCATGTCCGGCAATCGTTTTCTATGGAGTGGAAGTGTGGCCGAAAACTCGTTTGTAAACCCAACTTTAAGGAAAGCTGGATGGGAAGCTGACGTTATGCTTATGTCAGCTGACTTCGTTATATCACGTGATATGCAGCTTCATTTATTTCAGGATATCCCGGATGAGCCTGGCTATGTCAAAGTTGAAGCGACAGAAAACATTGAGAATGATGAGGTGCTTGTTTTCAAGGAGATCACGCATTCTGACGGCCACTCACATCTTTACATCGTCCCAGATTTACAACGTTTTTCACCCTATGACACTGACAGTCTTCTAAAGACGTCTCGTAAAAATATTCTAGTCCAAAGTATTTTTGATACTTTTGAACTTGACAACCTGTCTTGCGAGCTACAGCCGCATGGTCCAGCTTTTGCTCATTCAATGAATGGCTTTTCTTCGGTTTTTGAATTGGTTGCTCGACCAAAGAGAACGGTTTCTAAATTTCTAGGACACCTAGGTACTAGAGTTTTGGAACACTTTGATGCAAAACCTCACGTTGAGAAAGAGGTGCACCAAGAATCTTCGATCAAAAAAGGTGGTCAAATGTTTGATTATATGAAACCTCAAACTGATGCAGTAATACCTGACATTGGTTTAATGATGGATATTTGCCCAGCCATCAAGTGTGAAGGATGGCCACACAAAGCCTTACGTTTCTTTCATCGTACGAGGGTTTGGCCTGATCACACCATACTAAACAAACTACTACAAAGTAGTTTCCATTTTCATTTGGTTTACAAACCACTCAATCCTTTATCACAAGACTCCGTCGAGTGGAGAATATCCTTCTCTCAAGCAGAAATCTCATTGTTTCAAAGCATGGATGCTTTCAGAATTTACTGTTATCGTATTTTTAAAGCCATTTACTACAGTGAGTTGACGTTACCAAAAGTTCTCAGCTCATATCACATGAAAACCATCTTCCTGTGGGCGTGTGAGAGAATACCGTCCGAGATGTGGGTGGAGTCGAACTTGGCGCAAATCATCATGGGATTGTTGGATGATTTACTGCATTGCCTGGTTACCAAGAATTGTCCACACTATTTCATTCCTGAAAACAACCTGTTTGCGCATGTGCATCAGGACTTTCTAGACCACCTGGCTAAAGTGGTCGCAAAGATACGAAGAAACCCAGAAAGGTAAGTATAACCAAACAGTTGTTTTATCGGATCTAGTTGTCGTAAATGTTGATCGATACTTGAGAAATTGATAGGATTTCGACACTTCAAAGAGGTACGTAGTTGGATATACTATTAAATATAATATGTAGAATACGTGGCGAGTTGGTAGGACTGCATAGGACAAGAGACAAACGTATAAAGTAGAAGAAAATGTTAGAAAGTTTGACCTTCCTGATCGATAAAAGGATGGGGTTTCATTAGTGGATCAGGGTCAATTCAACCTTCCATTTTATTGACTAGCATAAGATAAAACCGACATTTCATTGCTTTTTTTTTTTTTTTTTTTTTTTGCCTATGCCTCCATTCAGGGACCGCGTAGCATATTGAAAAGTGAGGGGGGCTGGCATTTAAAAGTTAAGCATATTCTCAATCAAATTTCGGGGGGGGGGAAACGTTTTTTATTTATATTCGTATTTTGGCTCAAAAAGTGGGTACTCTTCGGTACCGGTCCCTGCCATATTGTATTTAGTATACATACTCGCCGCAAGGCCGATCAATACGCAACGAAAATTCAAGTACGCGCTCCTCTTGGGATATTCCATGATATGCCACTCGGTACCATTGTATAACAAGTATATAATAACGATGTTCTTTCACACGTCTTACTTCAATGTTTTCTTCGTTACTATAGGTACCCACTTGTTAAAACATGCAGTGTTGACCAAAGTGCAGCTCAGTCAGCAAGTGGTGACCAAGACAAACCACAGAATGAATCACTAGACGATGGTATAGAGCTAGACTAACTACTTACTTATGCAATGGCAAAACATCGCGCCAAAAGTAATATCGATCTTGCGACTTTGAACGCTTTTCCCTCTTTTCATTCTTCTACTTTACTTAGTTTAGATGCCTGATGAGGTATTACTTTATCACCACCTGTAACACGTTTCATGACAACCCCGTCACATGATCATCACACCTGTCACATGACCAACCATGAAATACGCCACTATACTTATATCTCATTCATCTAAGGGGAAATTATTTTGCCGTTTACTCGATCCAGAGTACCGATAACATTTTGTTCGCGATGATAAATTTTGCAAGAACTATTTCTACAGCTCTTCAAAATTATGTCTGAATGATGCAAACATTCACAGATCAGTCATTATTTCTCTATATACGTTACAAAGTTTGAATGCGAATGTGAAGTGAAATAAATAGGCATGTTACGTGCATGCATGTATGTTACAAAATTGAAAAATTTAGAAACTGACTGATGCAAACACCAATATAAATCATTACAAAATGTTGCCAAGATCCAAATTTTTTTGAGATGCTCACGCATGCGCGGCTATTTGGACCAGTCAACATAGGGCAAAAAAGGGCTGTTACCAGAGCTCCTTCAGGGGAGAAACGAGACTGAGGGGGTCTGGGTACGAGACTGCAGCTAAACAAGAAAGAAACCTCACTGCGCATGTTTGTAGTCTGTATGGAAATTTGTCGAAAACGACTCCACCCTAGACAGAAACGAGTGAGGATTGGGCAATTATTTGTCTCGTGTGGACTGAGAAAACCCAGGCTCTCTACGTAAATGGTAGTCGCAGTAACAAAAAGCAGAAATTCCAGCAATATAGAGGGGGAAATACCGAGAAAAAAGTGTCTAAAATTTGTTTGCCAGTAAAGTTTCCAGTCAGCAGGAAAACTCGATTCTTCGAATAGGGATTGTCTGATTGAAAAAGCTGAATATACACCAAAAGGATTCGAATAATTACTCTTTCTACTGAAAGGGTTTTAGTTCAATAAAAAAATTCAAAGATAAACGACACTTTGCCACACCTCCGAGACATCAACAGAAGCTGAGGCGCCGTATGGGCTTCGGACGGTAATTATAAGACCGATCCTACTTCGGGTTACGCAGGATAATGTTCCAGCGCGAAGACCTCAGAGGAGAGACTATCCTGCCCCAAGACCGTATCTACGTCTAATCCCTCCAATCCGCCGCCTTCAAACGTACATCGTTTGCAACGCACATCGATTTGAAGTGGAAAATAATGTAGCCTATCTAGTGCATTGTTGACACGGCTATTCATTGTCTTGCTAACTTCGTGTACTGTGGGCCGAATC